TTAAAAAAAAAAAAAAAAAAGGAGAATATTAAGGGGGGGGGGGGGGGGGGAAGATATGAAATAGGGTGGAACATTTACTTTGGCTCTAATTTTATGTATGTGTGTGTGTGTGTGTGTGTGTGAGAGAGAGAGAGGTGTTTCTGTGTTTCTGTGTGTGTGTGTATGTATGTATATGTTTGTGTGTATGTATATATATGTGTGTAAAAGTTGCAGGCAAAATAATAATAATAATAATAATAATAATAATAATAATAATAATAATAGTTTAATTGTTGTACACCGCTCAGAGTCGCTTTGTATGAGATGGGTGGCTAAATAAATGTGATATATAAATCATTATCATCATCATCATCATCGTCATGCAATCTTTTGTTAAAGTCCTCGCTCGTTGGGAAGAAACCAAACCTGAAACATAGATTTCATAAAAAACTATAAGACACATTAATATGTTGACAAGTGGCATCTTCTGACTAAATAGAATTACTGTAACCTTCAAGGATCAGAATCAAGTATTTTTGGCCACCAGATGTCCATGATAGCAGATTATATTGGGCAGATTAAAGAAATATGGCCCAAAAAGCAGTGTAGTGTCTCATGTAAATGTCTGTTAAATGTTAGTAAGGTATTTCTGGATGGGGTAAAAGTTTGGCAGGAGAAAAAGCATCAGCGAATCTTCCAAAGGATATCTCACATGGACAGGCTCATCTAACCTATATTTGTATAGGAGATGAAGGTGATCTGAGACAGAAACTTTGAATCCTCCTCTTATATTTCATAAGCTGAAGGTAAAGCAGTCAAGGAAATTGTTCTTAGACATATTGCCATATTTCCAGTACTGCCATATTTTAAAATGAATTTTGTAGGTGTTTTCTCAACAGCAGTCTCAACGAAACTAAAGTGTGTGACCGCACGTGTGCAGAATGCTTGCTAAGAAAACACTAAGGAACCAGTACAAAAGACAGGTGGGCAGCCAAAATCAACCTGCATCCCAAAGCCTCAAGACAACATTGTGCCTGGGAATTAACAGCTGAACAATTGGAGCCAGTGGAATTATTTCGCAGAAATCGTAATTTTGTACACAGTGCTTCTCCTGGAGACCGTAACAAGAGAACGAGATGAAGGGGATTCGGCCGTAGCATATATTCGGCTCTTTAGAAACAGCCACAATGTAGTATACACAGCAATGTAGGACTGATAGCTTGGCTGCTTCGCTCTAGTGCATTGAGTGATTGGGCCTCTCCTGCTGTAGTTCCCAGGTATTCATAAAAGTTTTAAAATCTAATAGAAACAGTCTCAGTAAAAGGTCAGTTGACTTCCTTGAATTAAATATGTGCAAGCTACAGAATATAAGCTGTTAGCCCTAGTGAGCTGGGTCAGCCAGGACAGAGTATCTATGCTATTTGAAGTACACGTAAATAAGCCAATCGGTCATGCGCCGGTAAGGTTGATACCTTGAAGGATAAGGGCATTCGTAGCAACATTTATTTTTATCCTTTTAATTATTTTGATAGTTTGGCTGTGCTGAGGCCAGAGAATGGGCAAAAACCATCTCCCCACAATATATAAAGATCAATGGGAAGCACAAGAATTCCTACCTGAATATAGCATGACCCTTTTCTATTTCTGCTCAGTTTTAAAAGTGCAGTTTCAATTGCAGATATATAGTGTATTCAGATTTTTTTTTATGAGTTTCAACATTTATTTTCAAGAGCTGGATTTGCTTACCCTGGCTCTTTCTTTCTCAAAAGCCAGTAATCCAATTTGTAACCACTGTGTAGAAAAGTAGTTATTCAGAAGCTAAATCAACAGAATAATGCATCACGGTGCAGGTTTATTCCCAGCCAAAGAGGTCCTTCATCTCTTCAAGCTTATTTTCTACCCATTCTTTCCTTTCTTTGATGTCTGAACTTTATACCTTGCTGCTGTAAACACTTTCCACTGAAGAGGTTTCTAGGATCTCTTCCACCTTAAGAACAGAACGTGCTGTCAATTACTAACAGGAAACCCTGCATTCCTGGGCTGGAAGGAATGCATTCATTCATAATGAATAGAGCTCTGGTCTCCAATGGGAGTGCTGCACAAGCCCTGACTTAATCCTGTGAAAATGTACACACGTTGTCAGTCAATAGCATCGACTCAGATTATTGTTCACCAAGGTTCAGAAAGCCTGGCTGATAGAACTCTTTAATAGATCTCAGCGTAATACAAACCTGCTTCTTGGCGCTGAAGCTCAGGTTCATCAATGCTTGGCTTCACTTCTGTGCCATTCTCACCTGCCAGAAAAGGACAGCCAGAAAGGGTTATAAACTACATTTCTGATTGTTAAGCAGACAAACTCAGTAGGAACTGCAGCCAATAGAGCAGGTTGGTGGCACTACATGTAATGAACCCAACAAGAAAAGTACAGGTGAGCCAAAAATAAAGAACTACAATCACAGGATTGGCTCCACGCTTAGACATTTTTAGAATCAATCTGTTGAAATCAATAAGACTTAATTGAGCCATGACTAACTTAAATCCTATTGATTCTGGTGTATGACTAAACCTGACTTACCCCCCCCCCCAAATAATTAATATTTAACATTCTTAAAGGGAATTGAGGACTCTATAACATTTTGCGGAGTTGCCTTCAATCCTGGAAAAGTTGCATAGGCAAGAAAAATGCTTTCACAGCAGTTAAGGTTCTGTAGTAGGCAGCGTAATTTGCAAGAGTGTTTTTAGGGCCAATAGATCTGGGCTACAATAATCTGAAGGACCACTAGATGGCAGCACAAAAATAGAGATGTTGCTAGACCTCACTGCCATCTAGTGGTTGCCTGGAATATTGCAGCCCAGATATGGTAGTCTTAGTTTTCTTTTTGTCAGCTTAAATCCAACAGGAATTTCTATGCAGATGGGGGGTACTGCAAAGTTTCACTCTATTTTATCACCCACTTTAGGCTGCTTTGGAAGTTTCTCAATTTTTCTAAATTAAAGTGATGCATCCATAAAAGATGGAAGCAGAAAATGAGTGAAAACAGTCCCACACTATTGTTAATACAAATCCCTATATCTTTGATTCCCAGACTAAACTAATTTCTCTCTAGGAAATGTCTTAAATGACTTACGTGACTATATTTTGAAGCAAGAAAAGCTAAATGAGGATTACAGGGCATGAAGAAATTCTGGATAGAATTGTCACTATATCTACCTAGCCTCATAGCATGGACGGGAGTGTCTTTTCAAATGGTTATATGCTAGTCTTTTACCAAATGACTTTTATTTACTCCATCCTGAAGAAATTCCCAGATAGAGAGCTTGATTTCTATTTGTCACTTCTCCTGTCCACTGTTTGGATATATTTTCTGGGGTTATCCAATTATGCACGTCTATCTGTTCCCTTTGCCTCTCCTCTCCCTGAAACATTGTACTAATTTCTTTTCATTTTAGATGTATATCTCCTGTTTTGCTTTATTTGGTTAACTTTATGTTTGTAATAATAATAATAATAATTTTATTTTATTCAATTTCGAGGCTGCCCAGCTCCTTAACAGTTTCCAATTAAAGAGAGAAAAACAACAGTGACAGAAGCATGATGATTAAGATGATGATGAAAGAAGAAGAAGAAGAAGAAGAAGAGGAGGAGGAGGAGGAGGAGGGGGAGGAGGGCGGCAGGAGAGGGAGCGGGAGGGGGATGCCACCTTGAGATTTGCCTGGCCCTGTTAACCTTCTTGTTAATCTTCAGGAAGGCTTGGAAAACCTGGATGGTCCCTCAGGCATGGGTCAGAATATTAGGTGAGCTTGTCCAGGCAGTACCCATTGGTATGCCCTGTGTGTTTTGTTTTTGTTGATTTTTTGTTGAGATATTGTGATATGCTTTTATTATCATACACTACCCAAATTGCATTTTTGTGAGTTGTGTAGACATATAGTTCTTCACATAAGTAAACAAAGAGAAAGGAAGAATTACTATATCCACCATGCACCGAATTCCTCCAAATGCTCAACTCATTACAGAAAAGGCGTGACAAATTATTTTAGGGTTGTGTGAAGTGGAAAGGCAAAATGTAGCCCTGTGGCTAAATTTGACTCACTGCATCCTCCTCCCTTCCTTCTCCTGACATTCATTTTTCTGTGTTTCAAATCCTAAGCATAAAAGCAATGCTGTGGCTCAGTGATGTTTCACTCAGAACAGCAACTTTCTAATCTCTATTATGAATGAGCCAGCTTACCTGTTTTCACCTGTTTAGAGCCCTGTGCTAGAAAGACAGTCACGCAGTAAGACGGCAGAGTAATTGCTTAAACCGTATTGCCAAACTGTCGATGGCACGTTCGTTAAAAAAAAAAAAAAGGAACTAAAGAGAAATGCTATTAACCTCTCTAGGAAATAAATGGAACAAATTGATTTGCAGGTCCTCTGAAAGGCTGCATAATGACCAATCCTTCTTTCCCCTCTTGTCCTGCAGGGTTGGTATACCTGTCTCTGCTTCATTTATATAGTTGCAATATATGCACCCCTTTCTTTACCTCTTCAGTGCCTTGACATCTGAAAAGTGCACAGCTTTAGAGAAATCTGGCAATGATATGATACTAGGCAAAGGAAGGAAGAAGAAAGGAAGGACGCGTAGACTAAATTAATACTGGCTATCTTTGAATACGGTGGAATCATTCAAAAAAATCCACCTTTCTTCCGTTTATCTTTTCAGATGCTGTTGACTACAACAACCAGCAGGTGGAGCTGGTGTAGAGGCATTTATTCTTTTTCAAACTACCGGCCCTCCAGTTTTGATCTTCACTCTTCAGAGATCAGCATCGGACAAGATTCTCAACTGGTATAAATCAATGTCACTGCATCACATTCCAGACAACCATGGTGGGGTCCCAGGACCTTTAACTGGCTTGAACCATTGCATACTGATTTCCACTGACCTAAACTGATAGCGAGCTGTACTAATTTCTTAGGACTTCAGAGGGCTTTCAACCTCTTTAAAATGATCTTTGAGAAAATCATCATCTTTTACACACTGTCGTTTGTAATGCTATACAGGAAACAAGCAAAATTAAAACAAAACCATATTCTAATGCAAATATTATTCTATTTTGGAGCATTATTCTTGCCAGTCAAATGTTGGCTGCATCTTCTGTTGTGCAACATTGTATTTTTCAGCAATAGCGATTTAAAGCAGAGGCATTTAAATCTTAAAGCTGAGTTGAGATATTTTAGCCTAGTTTATCCCTTGTTTTACTGTTTTACTTGTTTATTTGTTTATTTATTTGCTTACTTATTTGATATCTTTATGTATACGGACCGGGTCATAGTTTTATAGCACTTGTATTACCTCTTCTCCTCCTTATTTTCTACATCTCCATTTTATTTTACTGAAACCATATCTCTCAAATAGTATTCAATCATTACCACAGAGATGGGGAAATTTGCAGCCCTATCCATTAAAGGGTTAAATTCCACCAATGACCATGATTTGTTGTGAAAATGATACATATCTGCATTCTATCTAACAGAGACCATGTTTTAATAGAAAGGACACGGCTATTTTAATGTTTTCCTCCCCCTGTGTCCCTCAGAACTGACTGGAAATGATGAATAACATGAACAGCAAATCTGTTCCATTAATGGAAATCCATTCACATGGTGCTGAATGTAGGTTTCTAAGTGTAAGCCTGTTCGGTTTAATTGCCAACAAGAGCTGTGATGGATTATGTGATACTAATCTTTTTTTATCTCTGTGGTTGCTAAATCACAGGATTGACTTGTCCTCAAAAGTAACATGAGGAACATACATTTTTCAAAAGTGGGCTGAATCTTTTAGCCTGCAGTCACAAGGTTCTTTACATTCTGCATAAGAAACACAGGAGAGAAGAGCTTTGCAAACTAATCATATTGGCAGAGGTGAGATGGGGAGGACCTTTTAGATGAGGCTTTTCTTTTACTAGGCAAATTTGTTTGATCTCAGCAGTACAAGGGCTTACCTTATGTTTGTATTTTCTTGCAAAGAACGATGATCTGATCACTCCATGATGACTCAATGATCAGGTGATCACTCTTTGCAAGAAAATACAGGAGGAAAGAATGGCTCCCCACACTGCTGTAGAAGGAAGGAAGGAAGGAAGGAAGGAAGGAAGGAAGGAAGGAAG